GTGCCAAACATAGTGAACACATATCCAGAAATATATTATTTGGCATCCATATAACCTACATAATCAGAGTCGACATACCTTTCAATTTCTGCTTTACTATTTTCACCACATACTCACCATAAATCAGGACTTTGTTCAGAGACCCATTTATGTACCTTAGAATCCACTTCAATACTTGCCAGTGAGCCTTTTGAGGATTCATCATATACCTACTTACAAGACTTGATGCATATGCTATGTTGGGTCTAGTACAAATCATAACATACATCAAAGAACCTAATATGTTAGCATATGACATGCTATTCATATAAGCTCTTTCGAACTCAATACTGGGACACTGATTTGTACTCAGCTTGAATTGAGGGTTTGCCAGAGTTAGAACAGGCTTTGAATTTGACATACAAAACTTGTCGAGAATCTTCTTCGGGTATGCCTCTTGAGATAAGCATAATCTCGACTGTTTTCTATCTCTCTGGATGTCAATCCTAAGAATCCTAGATGCAGCTCCTAGATCCTTCATATCAAAATCCTTATTAAGTTTAGCCTCCAATTTCATTACATCCTCGACATTGTTGCTTTCTATGAGAATATCATCCACAATAAAGCAACAAACTAACAATTGAATTTCTAGGTCAAATCTGAAGTAAACATAGTGGTCGAACTGACTTTTAATGAAACATATGTGTGTCATGAACTTGTTGAATCTCCTATTCCATTGTCGAGGAGATTTTTTTTAGCCCATATAATAGTCTATTCAGCTTTCACACATAATCTTCCTTTCCCTTTTCTGCATACCCTTCAGGTTGCCTCATCAAGATTGTTTCATCTAGATCTCCATACAAGAAAGCAATATTCACATCCATTTGTTCCAGTTCCAGGTCAAATTGTGCCACCATGGAAAGCACCATTTAAATGGACCTGTACTTCACAATAATATAGAACACATCATTAAAGTTGACACCTCCTTTCTAACTGAAACCCCTTGCGACCAATCTTTCCTTGTATCTCTTCAACGTCACTCCTTCATTCCTTCCTTAAATTTGAAAATCCACTTACAACTGACTAACCTAGCTCCAGCTGGTTTATTGATCAGTTCCCAAGTGTGTTTATCATGAAGATACTTCATCTCATCATCCATGGCCTTCATCCATTCAGTCTTATTTCGACTTCTCATAACTTCCTTATAGTCTCTAGGTTCTTCATCCGGAACCTCACTTGGAGAGATTAAGGCATAAGCTATAAGATATGCATACCTAAGTCTTTGAGATGACTTGATGACTCTTCTCGACTTATCTCTTGTCAACAGGTAGTCATCGATAGTTTCCTCAGTTTTGATAGTAGCTTCTTCATCTTCTTTGACTTCCTCTGGGTCATGCAATTTAGCATCACTATGCTCCACCTCAACAGGAATCTCTTCTTGTTCTAACTCCTCTTTAGAAATTTTCAAACTTTGACCAATGTCATCAGTTTTCTTGAAATCCATCTCAGCCCTTATTAAAAATTATATCTCAACTTGTGATACACCTCCCTGTGACCTAGCTCTAGGCACCACAACCTATAAGCTTTGACTCCTTTAGGGTATCCAGGGAACATACATTTTAGAGCTCTATGTTTGACCATGTCTTGCCTAATGTGAGCATAGGCTATGCAACCAAATACTTTAAGTTTGTCGAGATCTGGTGGATGTCCTGACCAAACTACTTCAGGTGTCTTAATATCTAACACAGTCGAAGGATACTTGTTTATCAGATATGTTGTTGTCGAAACAGCCTCTGTCTAAAATACCTTCTTTAACCCAACACTAGTTAACATGCATCTAACTATTTTCAAAATGGTTCGATTAAAATTTTCATCCAATTCATTTTGTTGGGGAGTACCTGCAGTAGTTATGTGCCTTGCAGTACCAGAGGCTGCACACAAACTGCCAAACGCCTCATTGCAAAATTTAAGGCCATTGTCGGTTCTCAACCTCTTTGACCTTTCTGCCAGTCTGATTTTCGACCAGAGTCTTCCAACTTTTGAAATTCTTAAAAGTTTCATCCTTAGTCTTTTGGTTGAATACTTATAAATATTTGGAATAATCATCAACTATAAATAGAAAATACCTTGCTCTTGAATGTGATGGACACCTTGCAGGCCCCCAAAGATCAACATGGATGTAATCAAGGGATCCATGTGTTATTTGTTTTACTTTATTGAACTTCACTCGGTAATATTTTCCAAGTACACGAGGTTCACAAAACTTCATATTTTCGACTTTGTCTCCATCAAGCAAATTTTGTTTCCCTAGTTATACCAGGCCCCTTTCACTGACATGGCCCAATCTCATGTGCCAAATTTCTATCTTCGACAAAGTGTTTATGGATACAAGATATGCAAAACCACTTATAACTTCAGCCTCAAGGATATACAAACCTTGTTTCGTGATGCCTCTTAAGACTTCTTTCGACCCTTTCATGACTTTCAAAATACTTTTCTCTCCTTTGAAAACATATCCTTTCTTGTCGAATTCACCAAGAGAAATCAAATTTATCTTCAAATCAGGTACATACCTGACTTCAGACAACAATCTTATTGACTCATCATGGAGCTTGAATCTCATAGATCCAACACCTGCAATCTTGCAAGCTTTATTGTTTCCAAGCAATACAGATCCACCATCTTAATCACATAGTTCCTCGAACAAGTCTTTGTTTGGAATCATGGCCAAGTGCAACCTAAATCCATAATCCACTCTTTACTTAAGTTGCCGCTTGAAACCACAAGAATATCAGGTGAGTCAAAATCATCTTGAACAATGGCTGCATTTCCATTCTCCTTACCTCCGTGATCTTTCAGGCGTTTAGAACACGCTTTTCTTGTATGACCCTCCTTCTTACAGTGATAACATCGAATACCAGATACATCACCACTATAAGATTTTTGTTGACTTTTATCCTCCTTTTTGTCAAACTTACCATCTCTCTTTGTGAATTTCGCCTTAACCGACAAATCTTCACCAGTCAAAGATGGCTTGTGCTCATTTCGTTCGTTCAAATCCTTAGAATACAAGGATGATTAAACTTCTTCAAAGGTTAGAGATTTTCTTCCATACAAGAGAGTTTCTTTGAAGTGAGCATGTGATCTGGACAAAGCACACAACAACAACATTTGAGCTTCATCCTCGATCTTGACATCAATATTTTCAAGATAAAAAATTAGCTCTTTGAACATATCTAACTACTTAGCCAGAACTTTGTCTTCACTCATCTTGAATGAATACAAAACTTGCTTCAGGTAGAGGCGATTGACCGACGATTTGGCATGTAAAAACTTTCGACTTTCACCCATAACTCATACGCCGTTGTCTCCTTTAAAACATGTCGAAGAACCTTATCACCAAGGTTCAATAAGATGGTGTTGTGGGTTTTCTCTATCATAATCGTTTTTTTCTTTTTCCGTTAACGCAACAACGTCCATGACTGCGACTCCCTTCAACACTTCTAAACAACCCTATTGAACTAGTAGGGATTTCATCTTCAAGCATCACAGACCGAAATCGTTCACTCCGGTGAACTTTTTAATCTCATAATTTGTTGACCGAATCTTCTTCACGCTCACTGCACCAATTTGTTGTGAAAAACACTAGAATAACAAAGTATAATCAGTTTCTTGATCGGCAAGAAACCCATAAGGGTAGGAGAAAGAGGAAAAGAAGAAGAACACAATGAAATTAGTTATAAATTGTTATTCTTTACTTTCTCTTTGAAACAAGATTACAAGTGTTACAAAATAGCAAATAATCTTCCTCACCCTAATTAGAATTTGCACCGCACACCAAAGATGAGAAACTAGCATACTGTTTATAAGAAAACTAACATATTAACCTAATGGGCTTTTACACACAGACCCATTATACTGGCTAACTTAAACAATTTGGGCTTACAACCAAGGCTCAATTTGACATGCTAACACTCCTAGCATACTTCGACTATAGCATGTGAACAGACTTCGACGACATACTAAAATTCTTTCAATATATCAAACCAAAAAACTATGTTTCGACCATACCAAAGTTCTATCTAATATCTCACAATAAGTTTATGTTGACTGGCAAAAGTGTGGTCCATTTGAACATTGATAAATAATATCATGTTTAAATGTGGACTTTATGTCTTAGATGATCTTGTAATGAATATCAAAATAGTCTCTTGATTGTGGCATTCAATAGATAACAAAGGTAGAGGTTGTGTCCATGTGTATGATTGACTTCAATGCCATCTAGATTTCTTAAATTTAGAATGATGTATTTGATATGGTTAATAGTACACCTTGTACTCTAATTAATATACTTTGCTTATTAAAAAAATTACAAATAATTGTTTCAATTTCTGAAAAAAACAATCTTAATATAAAGTAAGGTTTAATTTATATAAATACTAGTATAAAAAGTATTTATACCATCATTCAATCTCAACCGTTAAATTATTAACTATATTTTATTTTTTATATGATTAATAAATAATACTGATATGTTCACAATATATAATATCATTTGAGTATTCTAAATTTTGAAATATAGAGTTCGGTTCTTGTCATACAAAATTACTATTATTTATACTATGTATATATATATAAGGTAAATGGTTGGTGTCATATGCTTAAAAGAGTTATGTAAATATGAGTTATGTAAATTTGGGCAAACACTATGATTTTAAACATTAATGGTTTTATTTGAAGACAGCTAGAGGAAGACCTATAAAATGAAAAACATCAATCACACACACCAAAATTAAACAAAACTATTTCTATATATTACAAAACACGCTTTTAACGGTTTAAAACAAACACCAAAAATAAGAGTTACAAATTTGCAACAAGGAAAAAAAATACAAACAATTTAAGCCATCAAAATATAAAACGTAACATCTATTTCATCATATTATTTGTGCTCAAGGTTTCTCTAACTCATCATTTTCTTTTGTCTTTGAGGTTTTTGGTTGGTAAATTCTATCACCACCATGATGGGTAAGGGTGACATTGAGGCGGGAATCCACCAGGACGGCTTCTATCCGTCGATGATAGAGTCGCCCGAGCTCCGGTGGGGATTCATCCGTAAAGTTTACACCATTGTTTCGATTCAACTTCTTTTCACAGCCGGCTTCACTTCTTTATTCGTGTTTTTTCCACCCGCGAGGGATTTCGTTCGTTACAATGATCTTCGTATTGTTGTCTTGATTGTTGCTGTCATCTTCACCTTCATAAGTAAATTATATATAAACTCTCCTTCTTTTAATTTATATATTTAATTCATTTTAATGATTTGCTTTAAATATTTATGCAGTTTTGTTTGCATTGAGCAAATATTATGATAAACATCCTGTGAATCTATTTCTTCTTGGTCTCTATACTCTCTGCATGTCTGTTACTGTTGGATTCGTTTGTGCCTTTGCTAAAGGTATATAACTTTATATATATATATATATATATATATATATATATATATATATATATATATATATATATATATATATATATATATATATATATATATATATATATATATATATATATATTTGAATTTATTTTAAAAAAATTGTTTTTTTGAATAAATAAATCTAGTATGAAAATATGTGGTTTTTTTTTAATGTGCAGCAATAATTGTCCTAGAGGCAGCACTTCTAACTGGTGTGGTGGTTCTAAGTTTAACACTCTACACATTTTGGGCAGTTAAAAGAGGCGAAGATTTTAGTTTCCTTGGTCCATTCCTCTTTGCTTCACTTATGGTATTGTTAATGTTTGGACTTATTCAGGTAAATATTACTTTTAATTAATGAATACTTTCATATATATATATATATATATATATATATATATATATATATATATATATATATATATATATATATATATATATATATATATATATATAAAATCGTGAGTATCAAAGTTTGAATTCAAACCCTTGTAATAATATTCAATTTAATAATATTGAATTCAGTCAGATTCGTTGAGCGTCATTTTTTTTTCAAATTTTTTTATTTACTAGTTAAATAATATTATATAATTTAAAAGTGATTGTTTTTAATATTGAACAGATGTTTTGCCCTCTTGGACCACTTGGACGTATGGTATATGCTGGTTTGGGAGCATTAATAATGTGTGGTTTCATTGTCTATGATACTTGTGACCTCATTAAAAGATACTCCTATGATGATTATATTTGGGCTGCCATTGCTATCTATGGGGACATTATCAACCTTTTCATGTATATTCTTACATTTTTGAATGATATTTAGGGTTTGGGTGTATATCAATATCAAAATACTATTACAAATTAGTCTGTCTTGGTTCAAGAAAAGAAACCAATTAATAGTTAATAGTATATCAAAAGTAAATTTGTATTTATATACGGTGTTGATGTTGTATTTTGTGTCGAAATTATTTGTTATTTTATAAATTTATTAACACCATTTTATGTGATTTTAATGGGTGTTATTAGAATATTATTAATAATTCATATTTATTTAGTTGTACTATTTTCTTGGCCCCTAAGTTTGTTAGAGGGTATTTTAGTATTTATCTTATTCTAGTAACCCTAGTTTTAGCTTATAAATAGGGTGACAATCATTGTAACAAATATCATGTTTGTAGCCGTCATTCTCTTATTAGTAATATTTCCTATTTCATCATTTATTCTATCTTTGCACCAACAATTGGTATCTAGAGCTCCGGTTCAGATTCATTGGAAAACACGGGAAACACGAGTGAACGTGAGGTCTTGTGTGTTTGATTTTGATTCTTAGATTCGTGTTGAATCTTGAACAAAATCTGATCAGAATTTTATTCTGTGGGTTGGGAAACACTGTGTGAAAAATCTGAGTGTATTGTGCAAAGTAGAAGATGAACGGAAACGGCAACATGAACACCAAACTTCCAGTATTTGATGGTAAAAACTGGAATCGTTGGATGATCCAAATGCGTGTACTATTTGGTGCTCAAGATGTTCTGGATCTTGTCACTGATGGTTATGTTCCAGTAGCAGCAGATGCAACTGATGAACAGAAAAACGCGCAGAAGGAAGTAAGGAAGAAGGATCAGAAAGCATTGTTCTTCATTCATCAATGTGTGGATGTAAACGTGTTTGAGAAGATTGCAGACTCTACAACAGCAAAGGCTGCATGGGACACTCTGGTGAGATGTTATGGTGGTGACGCATCAGTGAAGAAGGTGAAGCTTCAGTCCTTGAGAAAGCAATATGAGAATCTCAACATGAAGAATAATGAGAAAGTTTCTGAATACATCTCCAGAGTGATTCTGATCACTAATGAGATGAAGGCATGTGGAGAAACTCTTTCTGAAGAAACAATCATGGAGAAAGTGTTGAGATCCCTTACTCCTCAATTTGATTACATTGTGGTAGCAATAGAACATTCCAAAGATCTGAGCACAATGAGAATTGAAGAGCTGCAGAGCAGTCTAGAAGCGCAAGAGTTGCGTCTGACTGAGAGAAACTCTGAAAAGGAAGTAGAACAGCAGGCTCTGAAAGCAACTTCTGATAGGAGGTATCAGAAGCAGTCAGAAGCCAGGAGAAGATCTGATGGTGGTCAGAAGTCAGAAAGCTCAACCTCTGATAGACAAAAGAATGCTCAGAGGGGAAAAGAGAAGTATGACAAAAGAAAAATACAATGTTACTGTTGTAAGAAGTTTGGCCATTTTGCTAGAGATTGTTGGTCAAACAAGGAGAAGAAATCAGAAGAAGCAAATATAGCCAGAGGCTCTGATGACGAATCTGTACTGTTGATGGCCTCTGAATCTGATAATGTGGATCTGACAGACTGGTGGTATATGGACACTGGCTGTTCAAATCATCTTACTGGAAACAAGAAATGGCTGGTTGACTTTGACTCTGAAAAGAGAACAAAGATCAGATGTGCTGATGACAAATATCTTAATGCAGAAGGTATGGGAAATGTCAGAGTGACTCTGAACAATGGGAAAATAGCATTGATTCAGAATGTGTGGTATGTACCTGGCATCAGAAGCAATCTGATGAGTGTGGGGCAATTAATTGAGAAAGGTTTCTCAGTTACCATGAAGGACAATCTTCTGAAGCTGTATGACTGTAATCAGAAGTTGATTATGGAGTCAGAACAGGGAAGGAATAGAACATTCAAGGTGAATGTCAGAACTGCAGACTCAGAGTGTCTTAGTGCAACAAGTACTGAGAAGGAAAGTGAGCTGTGGCACAGAAGATTTGGTCATTTGAATTTTAGAAGCTTACAACATCTGAATTCAAAGAAATTGGTACATGGAATTCCTGCAATTAAGAAGCCTGAAAAGTCATGCAAAGTTTGCATGGAAGGAAAACAACCAAGATTGCCATTTGCATCAGAAGTTGCTCCAAGAGCAAAACATGCCTTGGGAGTTGTACATTCTGATGTGTGTGGTCCATTTCCAGTAGCATCAATTGGAGGGAATAAATACTTTGTGTTGTTTGTTGATGAATTCACAAGAATGACATGGGTATCCCTTATTAAGTTCAAACACGAGGTGTTTGATGAATTCAAGAAGTTCAGAATGAAGGCTGAGAATCAGAGTGGTCAGAAGTTGAAGATTCTTAGAACTGATGGTGGAGGTGAGTATAACTCCAAAGAGTTCCAGAAGTTCTGTGAGGAGAATGGAATTGAGCATGAGGTTACTGCTCCTTATACCCCTCAACACAATGGTCTTGCTGAAAGAAGAAACCGTACTTTGCTTGATATGGTGAGAAGCATGCTAAAGGAGAAGAAGCTTCCTCAGAAGCTCTGGGGAGAAGCTGTTGCCACTGCAACGTATGTACTCAACAGATGTCCTACGAAGAAGTTGAAGGAAATAGTTCCTATGCAGAAGTGGACTGGAGACAAGCAAAGTGTTAGTCATCTGAAGGTATTTGGTTTTGTTTGCTATAAACATGTTCCAGAAGCCAGAAGACAGAAGCTGGATGATAGAAGCAAAGTGATGATTCTGATAGGGTACCACAGTACAGGTGCATACAAGCTCTATTGTCCAGAAACCAATAAAATTGAATTCAGCAGAGATGTGATTGTGAAGGAATCAGAAGTTTGGAATTGGGATAAGTCTCAATCTGATTCTGATGTTAGAACCTCTGAAGAAAGGCCAGAGTTAAGAATTTCTGAAGTTGAAGTAAACCCTGACGTTGACTCTGACTCTGATACTGATTCAAACTCTGAAGAAGACTCAGAAGATGAAGGTGACTCTGATGACCCAGACTCTGATGACCCAGACTCTGATGATTCAGACTCTGATGGCAATCCAGATCTTGGTGGCAATTCAGACTCTGGAAATATGCCAGACTCTGAAGATGGTCAAAGCTCTGGAGGTCAATCATCTGAAGCTAGAAACTCTGAAGCTCAAGACTCTGAACAAGTTCAGAGACCACAAAGAATCAGAAGCATTCCCAGAAGATTTGCAGAATTTGACATGCTGCAAGACACTGAAGTAGACTCTGAAGGAGAAGTTATTCAGTGTGCCATGTTAGTAGACTCTGAACCTATAAGTACAGAGGAGGCTCTTAAGCAGAAGCTCTGGCTGAAGGCCATGAAAGAAGAACTTGATGCTATAGAGAGAAACAAGACTTGGAAGCTGACAGAACTTCCAAAAGACAAGAAAGCCATCAGCGTCAGATGGGTTTTCAAGCAGAAGTTAAAGCCAGATGGCTCAATTGGCAAACATAAAGCAAGGTTGGTAGCCAGAGGATTTCTACAGAAACCTGGGCTGGATTATTCTGAAGTGTTTGCACCTGTAGCAAGACATGAAACAATCAGAATGGTGATTGCAATAGCTGCTAACAGGAATTGGCCTCTGATGCATTTAGATGTAAAATCTGCATTTCTGAATGGTCCATTAGAAGAAGAAGTTTACGTGTCACAACCTCCTGGATTTGTGAAAAAGAATCAGGAAGGGATGGTGTACAGATTATACAAAGCTCTATATGGACTGAAACAAGCGCCCAGAGCTTGGAATCAGAAGATTGATTCATTTTTCAAGAAACAAGGCTTTCAGAAATGTGAGATGGAGTACGGTGTCTATGTTCAGCATACTTCTGAAGGCAATATGACTCTGGTATGTTTATATGTTGATGATATACTATTGACTGGAAGTTCTGAACAGGAGATAGCCAAGTTCAAGAAGGTTCTAATGAATGAATTTGAAATGACTGATCTAGGCAAAATGACATACTTTCTAGGGATGGAGTTCAGATATTCTGAGAAAGGTATCATTTTGCATCAGCTCAAGTATGAATTAGAACTTCTGAAGAGATTTGATCTGAAGAATTGTAAGATGGCTGTCACACCTTCTGATACAAATCAGAAACTGGATTCAGATTCTGAAGGAAAGGATGTGGATGCTACAACCTTCAAACAGTTGGTTGGTTCTCTGAGGTATCTGTGCAATACCAGACCTGATATTTGCTACTCAGTTGGGATGGTTAGTAGGTTCATGAGTAAACCTAAGTGGTCCCATTACCAAGCTGCTGTCAGGATTCTGAGGTATATCAAAGGAACTCTGAAGTATGGAGTGTTATTTCCCTCTGGAGGAAATAATGAGTCAGAACTTCTGAGTTATTCAGACTCTGATTGGTGTGGAGACAGAGTTGACAGAAGAAGTACATCTGGGTACTTGTTCAAATTTCTGGGAGGTCCCATTTCTTGGTGTTCCAAGAAGCAACCTGTTGTGGCGTTGTCAACCTGTGAAGCTGAATACATTGCAGGTGCTGTTACTGCATGCCAAGCTGTGTGGATTCTGAATCTGTTGCAGGATCTGAAGATTAAGGTAGACAAACCTCTGAAGTTGATGATTGACAACAAGTCTGCAATCAACCTTGCCAGAAACCCAGTGCTGCATGGGAGAAGCAAGCATATTGAGACCAAGTATCATTTTCTGAGACATCAAGTTCAGAGTGGAGTGTTAGAAGTTGTACACTGCAGCACTCAGAAGCAGTTGGCAGATGCTCTGACGAAAGCTATCAAAACTGATCAATTTCTCAGATTAAGGGATGGAATTGGTGTCACAAGTTTTGATGGAATATGAATTAAGGGATGGTATTAGAATATTATTAATAATTCATATTTATTTAGTTGTACTATTTTCTTGGCCCCTAAGTTTGTTAGAGGGTATTTTAGTATTTATCTTATTCTAGTAACCCTAGTTTTAGCTTATAAATAGGGTGACAATCATTGTAACAAATATCATGTTTGTAGCCGTCATTCTCTTATTAGTAATATTTCCTATTTCA